AAATGTAGATTTGTTTGTCCTAAACACACGTGAGCGTTAATTTCATTTATTTCGATTTTATTTCTATTTTGTATCGCTTTCGCGACCGGGCAGAACAAATACAATAAAGTTGAAATGAGTTTGATACGAAAGCACATAAAGCAAACATAAACACCTATGCGCACACATACATATGTGTATAGACCTATAAACATTTAGTACAGACATTTATCTGTGCCTCGAAAATTATTTCAAAATCGTCAATTAAAATGCAGTATGCAAATTTTTATTACCCAAATTCTCACCGTACAAACACATATTCGTATATATGTATATGCACGTTTATATAAATAAAAATTGCTTTGGAGTTTAAAAAAATTACCTAAGTTATAGAAACAAAGGTGTTCCCTGTTAATCGATACAAGGCTTCGCTTCTCCGACTGACTTTATACATATATTGTTGGCTGAAACCGTTCGGGAAATAACTGCGAACTTTTCAATATCAGTTACAACAGTTTCACCTTTTTCATTTTATAAGAGAGATATTTATAAGAAGATATCATTTTAATCGATCTATTAATATTTAAAAAGTTTTTGAATTCCTACGAATAGTGAGAGTATTTAAGGTTCGCTCGAATTACTACCCTACCTACCTACCTTTCTTCTCACAATTGGATTTTGCAAGTAATATTCATCATTGTTCAACATTGAAATTGGCAGCTATTTACCAGTTCTGGTGGTTCTCCATCTTTTCTATACTATTTTTGTACGTTTGTAATTTGGGTTAGATTTCAAGATAGAACTCAGTGTCCAAGCTACTATATTTTTGAAGTCTGAGTACCGAAAAAGGTCACTACGGGTTAGATCCGGAGAATCTCTTGATTCATATTAATTTGTTATATGGTATCATGTAAGTTTATGTGGCACCAGATTTGGTCAGGTCAGCATTCATGCCGATGTAAGAACTCTCATGTGAATGTCGAGAATTTCAGGCTAATTAGACTCTTTCTGTTGAAGTTGCTAGAGAGGCTAATGGACCTGTACATACGCGGTGTCATACCGATACACATTTTATTGGGCGCTCAGCATGCCTGCAGCAAATGCAGGTCGGTAGACAGTGCTCTATTTGATGTTGATTTCTGGATACCGTCGTATCATAAACACAACGACGGTAGGCACGACAAGGGTACATCAATGTGGTAGCTCCCATGGCGGAAAGAAACTGTAAGCTGTCAATCCAAATAAAATTGAACTGTTTCACCCGAATAACAGAGCTTCTATACAGATCTTGAGCTCGGCGACAATGTGTTGTAGTTCGTACGTAAATTAGCCAACTATTTTTGAACACTCATCAATTCAACCTTTTGGTATTAGAAGTATTTCAAGTTACAAAATTTAAGAGTGATCCATTTCGAGCTTCCCTACTTTTTTTTTTAAAGAAAAAGCACAGAAACTTCAAACTTAATGGGGGATGCTTATTATCAATTGAAAGAACATTCTTTGGAATTTTTTTTTGAAGATTATCTCTTTAAATTTTTGGTCACGCCTACGTCTCAGATGATCCAATTTTCGATGACTCGTTCGAACATTTCGACTGTTAACTGGCGAATGACACGCATGATGTTTTGCTCCAAGCTCTGAGTCGTACCGAGATTGTCCGCAAAGACTGTAAACTCTATGTATCCTCGACCAAAAACGAGAAATTATTTGCTCACCGAAGTTTTCTCTCAATAAATCGATTAATAGGTGCAATGTGTGGGAAGCCCGTCGTCTTGTTCAAACATAATGTCACCGAGATATCGAGATTCAATTTCAGGCATAAAATAGTCGGTCATAACGGTCGTCAGTGACATCATTTTTGAAGAAATATGGACCGATGATTAAACCGGCCCACAAACCACACCGAACCGTTGGTGTTTCTGGATGAAGTGACAGCTGATAAATCTCTTCATGTTGCTCTTCGTCCAAAATGCGAATTTACTTATTTACGTATCCAATGAGCCAGAAATGGGCCTCATCGCTGAACAAAATTTAGCTGGAAAACGTCATATTTCTATTAGAACTTTATATGGATTTAAGTCTACTGGCTCCAATCAACGTTATTTACGTGAATTTAACAAAAGAGAGCACGTGGATATGCTAATAAATGCTATAAACTATTTTATGCTAGTCAAGTTTTTGATTTGAAGACAAGTCGAGTTTATGGTGTTACTACTTTGAAAATAACTGATAAAATTGATTAATCTAACCTCGGTTTCCTTGAAGACTTAAAACACGCACATACGCCCATACGAATTTTAATCAATCAATATTTTGCGGTATATCAATATCAATATGTATGTAATTAAATTATGAGTGCATTAAACTTGAAATAATCAATTATCTATCTGTCGAAACGTTTGTAATTAACAGGCTGCATTCTCTACCTAAATTGGTTAATATTTTTTACTTTCCACTTTAATTGTTTAAAATTGTTTTGAAACATTTTGACCGGTTTTCAAAATTCTAAATTAATTCTCGCGTTATATTTGCAGAAATTTTACATTTTTATACTCTTATATACACTTTTACAAACAATCGTTGTATTTGACTATCCATACTAACGAATACACGTTATCACCTATCCCATCATCTAACCAGCAGCACCACCTGAAGTGGGTTCTCCATGCATTCCCTTCGTTTTGCTCTCGTTTTTCGCTCCCGTTCTCCGCTTGTCCGCAGCATTATTCTTAAGTATTGTATTGTATTGTATTTATTTTTTTTTCTTTCTCATTTTATTGTTAATTTGAGTTTTATGAATTTTTGGCAATAAATTGTTGTATCAACGCTGCGCGATGACGTTGATGCTTGTTGATGGCGATGGCGATCGCGTTGATGACGATGATGCTGTTGATATTTTCGTGTTATTTATTTTTATTTTTTCGTGCGCAATGTTGTTATTGTTGCTGTTATTATTTGCTCAACTCTGCTTGCATTCGCACATCGCATTCACTCAGGCTCAGAACTCTGCGCCGTCACTTCAGTGCGCCCCACTTCAGCTCGCTTTACTTATTGTGCTCCTCCGCTTAACCTGCACCCCTTCGTCACATAGTGGGTATAGAGCCAAGTGTCGGCGCAAACTCTGTGTGATGAAGTTAACCTTGAATTTGTTTAAAGACTTTTGGACTTTTTGGTGGTGTTAATTCTTTAGCTTCAATTCGGCAGACGCCGAACGCTGTTCATTTGTTGTATATTTTCTCCATCCCTCGTTTTCTTTTTTTTGCGTTGCCTCGGTGTTGTGCTTAATTGTGGTCTGCTTTCGTTCACTCATCATTTGAAGCGTTGTTGATTTTATTCACTTACATATATGTACTTTTGTATTTATATATATATCGGATTGTTTATACATACAGACGACTGCATGCGAATATGACTGCATAAAAACAAATATGAAATTATCAGAGAAGATAAAAAAAAAAATATAAAAAAAAAATATAAAAAATATATAAAGAAAAAAATCGTAAAAAACATTTAATAAAAAATAATTTACTCCGCTCGCTTAGGAATATGTTTAGACGTATATACTTGAATATCTTGCAATTTCTGTTTTTGCATTTTTATACCCTGAACAGCGGATATTAAGTTTGCCAGTATACAACATTTAGAAGAAGCAGCGGAGAACTTATAATATGGTAGTCGAAAAAGTCTTTTCATATTTCTAATCAAATGTCAAATCATTTGTTTTTTTTTTTATATTATATTTATAATAGACTTTAGTGAAACAAATATGCAACATTTTGGTCGATTATTTTTTGCTAGAGACATTATTCCATCAGTGTAAAACTTTTCTGGTTCCTTGTCGAAAAACTGCGACAAGTAATTTCCACATGCTTCTCTTGAAGCCAACTTTACTCCATTAAGAGAGTTCCCCATTGACCGAAACAAATGGTAGTCCGATGGTGCAAGGTCAGAGCTATATGGTAGATGTATTAAAACTTCCTAGCCAAGCTCTCCCAGTTTTTGCCGAATCATCAAAGATGTGTGTGATTTAGCGTTGTCCTGATGGCAGACGATGCCCTTTCTATTGATCAGTTCTGGCTGTTTTTGTCAATTGCTTGCTTCAATGTCAATAGTTTTTGACAGTAAAATGTACAATCAATACAAGTTTGACCAGGCTGGAGCAGCTCATAGTGGATGATTCCTTTCCGATCCCACCAAACACTCAGCATAACCTTTCGAGGCGTCAATCCTGGCATTGCGACCATTTGTTGACCTTCACCACGGTTTTATCATGATCCTTTTCGTACATTATTGTCGTACTTGATCCACTTTTCGTCTTCTGTTACCATTCGCTTCAGATATGGTTTGTTTTTAATATTTCGTTTCAGCTAAGAATCGCAGATGTTAATTCGGAATGTTAAGTTTCTTAGCGATGTAGCTTATCTAGCTGCTTATGTGGCGATTCTGGTCAATCTTTTCTATAATTTCATCGACTTTTTCAACGGTATGTCGACCATAGCGAGGTGCAGGCGAGGTTGTCCGTTTGTAGGTCCGTCTGTCTCTACGTATATACGAGATTTGTTAGTTTGAGACATCTAACTAAAATTTTGTGCAAGTCCATTTCTGCGCATGAAGCTGCTAATTTTTCTGAATTCGCTACCGGACTACTACGGGATATGGTGGATCAAAACTTCTCTTTAACAACATAAATTATTGCCCAAGGCAGTGCCTATCTCCGAACATATTGTTCAAACTGGATCACTCTTGCCTACAATGTTGTTCAACTGGCCGATTAAAATCAAGGTAAAAATCTTTGTGTAATTTCTTATGCTCTTATTGCATCTGTGAAGGGTATCATAGCTTAACTTTTTTTCTTATTTTAAATCTAATTTGCAACTGTCATTCTGAAATGTCAGAAACTAAAGAAATTTATCGTCAAACATTTTGTTGATGTTTGTTTATTGTTCTTCCCACTTTTCGCCCGTGGGCGTTTATTGAAGTGTAGTTAATTACATTTTAAGTATTATTTTTGTTGTTGTACAAACGTTTCAAAATTGAATTTATAAGAATTTATTATTTATAGCTTTTCAAATTGATGCAGCTCACAGCAAATTCATCAAAAATCCGAGAGAAATTATAAAATTTCAGCAAATTAGTTATATTGATTTAGAGTCCAAGGCTTATAAGGGTGATCCAATTAGAGTGCAAGTTGTGATAATATATATAAAATTCTATTTTAAAAAATTGTTACTGTTCTAGGAATGTAAAACGTGATAGTCCTTTGTCACTTATAAATCAGGGTCCGCTGGTAATATAAAGAATCCGTGGAACAAGTGAGAGAAATGCCTTTGGGAAAACATTAGTGTGTGGATGATCGGTCGTGTCGCACTTGAAGATCTAAAGTTCTGACGTCATGCGAGCCGTATGGACATGTGAAGACACAGGCAAGGAAGAATGACAGAGACGCTGGTGCAACTACTCTGCTTAAAGTCTCTATTAAACTTCGCGTTCTTCCTTTCGCGCTGATCCTTCTCCACCTTGTCTTCCTCAGCTTCCCACCTCGGGTACTGCGTCGAATACTCTCAGAGCTGGAGTGTTTTCATCCATTTACACGACATAACCTAGTCAGCGTTTAGAAAACTCGTAAAGCCGACTCATCAGATGTCATATCATTCCGAAGGCTCAAAGTTTCCATTACCGGATTGCCATAGTCGAAGTATTATATTTGCCGTGCTTCGTATATTTGGGACTGCGAGAATCAAATAACTTACAGTGATACACATATTTATTTCTTTCGAGGTCTAAGCTTATACTAAATAGAACTTCTGTTTTTTTTAGAAGAAGTTTGGTTTTGAATACTTACTGAATTCAATTGCGCACTCAAAAAAGAAGTGTCTTCATGACCATTATCATAGAGCAATGTTTCTGAATGGGACTGGGTCAGTTTGTATAGTTACCTTTAATAAGGATTTCCTGATTATTTACCCCGGCAGTTGTTTAGCTAAGTCTCCCAGTCAAGTAGGCCTTTTTAAGTGTACGCACTTTGAGATTTTTCTTTTTTCATGTGTCTAATCTGTAATAAAAAAGTATCTAGAATAAGCAGCGCTATGCAAATACATCAATACAAACCGAAACTCTTTAAATGCTTAGACAATTTGGCAATGCTCCATAATATGTCTGCTCAATAAATTCCAACAAACGATGATTAATGATTCTTCCCATGCAATTTGTAAACATAACACTAAAATGGACAAAACGGTTGAGGCATTGCTTGAAGAATTTCATTATCATTTTTTAAATGTTTATGAAGAAAAACGTACAGAAACAAGGGTACATTTTGAAGAAGTAAATAAATATTTTTGACAAAAAAGTTCAGCAATAATAAAATATATATTCATATGTAAGAGAGTTTCTATTCAAACGTAAACAATACTTGCATGACCAAGCCATAAAAAGAAGAAGACGTAAAGAAGAATGTGCCATTAAAATGCAAGTTATTTTTTTTTATGGATTTTGATTGATTATATGACAGTTTGGGTTTGAGCATTGTTCGCTATGATAGGTATGTCCAGATTTTAGTTGCACATTTGAAGAGGTGCAGGTATCAAACAGTTGTTTTTAGTGGTAATAAGAGTTGAAATGTGAGAAGTAATGTTTGGACAGTCAAATAAGTGACGTCTATCACTTTGATTTAACTTTTCTGCCTGATTTTATTAAAGCGATATTATCGATTCTAATCCGTGGCTTGTTGTATGCTGAGTATTTAAAAAAAATCTGTTGGGAATTGCAGGATTGAAGTAGCATTCTTTAACAAAGAAGTTTACTTTTGTTTAACAATATTTTGGTTGACGCAACTTGCAGGGAGGAACACGGGTTGGAAACATCTAGAAACTCTCTCACTGTCTAGCTAAGGCATCTTGGTTCCAATACTTTCTATGAATCCGGCGGATTGGCTGCAGTAGATATAAGCCATTTAAGCTTGTCCGAAGTGAGTGACCAGAACTCTTGGGTACGGATCAAAAAGACCGTCGCTTTGTAGATATCCGAACTTAGGAGTTCTGATCATCACAATGCACAAGGGTCTCCCGCAGTCCAAATCGGGTTATTCATGGTGTTACGGCTTCGGGATCCCGAAACACTAAAATTTAAAATCCCAAAGCTAAAACAACGCATAATTATATATTTTTTTTTAGATATTTGGTCATGCTAAAATTGCATAACAAACTATATCGAAAATATTCGCAAAAAGACTTTTTAATCTTCAAAAAAATTGTCTGTTTTGCAAGCCGTAAAAATTTATTAGTTCAATTTAGAAGTGGTGAGGGAGCAATGTTTTTCAAATTTCAACTATTTTTCGGTGTTCCGAATCAATTCCGAAAGTTGGTGAAATTATGTACATAAATTGGCATGCGGAAGAACTCGAGATCTCGAATACATTCTGAATAATGATATCACATTATTTTGCAAAAGAATCGGAACTTTGAGCCATTGGAGCTGGAATCATTTTTGTTCAATATCAGTTTTGTTCGGCATCCCAAACCAATACTGTAAATTTCTGCATAAAACGATCGGAATTCTCCCCTATTTGAATTGGCATCACTCTATTTTAATCGTAGCTCTTATGCTGGATTTCGATTCAATCCCGAAAACTGTTTATAATTATTTTATGTGTAAAACTATTGTTCAATCTCAACTTTTATTCGGAGTCCCGAATGAGTCCCGAAAGTAGTTAGTATTTAATTTAAGATTAAATGGTCGGAACTCTCAGCCCTTATTAGTTTTTTTTAATCACAGCTCTTACTTGCTATCCCGATTCAATCCCGAAAATTGTTGATATTATATTTATGTGGAAAACGATCAAAATTCTACCAGTTTTGAGCTATAAATACCTTTTCCACGTGTCGCAAATTAAGTATAATTAAGCGCACTAGTATAAATAGTCGTAAAAATACCTAAATAATGGTTAAGCCGAGTTCTAGTTATAACTGAGACGGAGGTTTATAGCTCAACGGCGGAGACTGGTATGAAGAGACCAGCAAGAATATCACATACACATACAGACATTCGTACAGAAGAACCTCCCTACACTTGAGCCAACACAAAGGCCTGTCGAATGACTATCTATTCAAGCGGTTCCCAGCTGGAACGCTGTTATTACAACCACTGGCTGTATGAATAAATTTTCTAGCTGAGAATATTTAGCGCTGCGAAAATTCCAAATCAAATGCCAACGAATGACAAACAATGCTATTCAATGGCCGCAACTACAGCTGCAACGCGAATAATGAGGAAAACACGCTAACGAAGTTTGTGACTCGGCTATTATGTTACTATTTTATGGCTGAGCAACAACCACCCTGCCTCATTGCCGCGCTGATGACGCTAATGATGAGTGGGATGGTAGAGAAGATGATGATGATCATCAACCGCTTGTTGTTGTCGATATTGTGGTTGATGATTATGATGACCTTGGCAATGAAGCGTGAAGCAAGTGCTCGCTAACAAAAACTAACATGCACACACACATATACAAATATATAAATAAATAATACATGTAATACATACATATGCATAAGCTACACGCGATTTGTATTGTATAATTAAGTTGCTGTGCTGCGGCTAGTTGCTGCATGTGGGCGTAAAAGCGTTGAACGCAAAGATGAGCAACAACAAAATGCTGGAGATAAAGAGAGAAAAAAGTCATTAAAAACTACAACAAAAAAAGAGAAAAAGCCATAAATAAAAGCAACACATGGCAGTAGTGGCAATACTACAACCACAACTATATACAAATACAAATAATGACAAATAGCAACAGCAACAATTAAGTAACAACAATAATAGCAAACAAATCAATAATCGCGCTGCACTGCAAATGCTGAGTGGAAGCTGGCAATTAAGTGGACAATGTGCGCTGCAGCAGCGGCAACAGCGGCAGCCGTGAAGTTCACTAATGTTTTTGGAGGTTGCTTGAGGGGGAGGGGCGTGCGGCCGCTGATTTTTCCACTGCTATATTTGCTTGCTTAGCAATGTGTTTGTGTTGTTTGCTGCTTGCTTTGGCATTACATTCAAATTTACTTATTTGTAGTGCAGGTTTTTTTGCTACTCTTTTCGTTGTTTTTGTTTTTGTTGTTTGCTTTGCTGCTTTGCAATTAGCTGCGTCTAAGAAGTGCATTGTTTAATCGCAGCTGCATGCGAAAATGATGCGGGAAAACTTTTCCAACTGTCATAATATCCTGTTTATTGTATTCTGCGATCTATTTTTAGCGCTCAAGGAAATTGTAAAATATGAAACATCATAAAGAAAGCAAGAAAGAAAATGTTAACTTCGCCTGCACCGAAGCTATAATACCCATCACAAGTGCATTTCTATTATTTATTCTATTTGATAAAGAAAAAAAGATCTGTTTTGAAGATCTTTAGCTTGGCTTTTATCGATCAATTTGTACCTATAAGCTATAGTGGTTCGGTTTCGGCAGATTTTTTGTCAAAAAACGCAGTCGATTCCAAGTTTAAGCAGGTTCTCCTCTACCTAGTATTTCCAACGGTGTAGAAGTCTTCCTCTGCTTCTCTCAGCGGGTACTGCGTCGACTTGACTTTCTCAAGCGACATCGAAACGCTCTATGGGTTCTTGTAAATCCAAGAAGATCCGAAGTTTTCGAGCCAAATTTTGTTCAGGGTTGAGGCCATTTCTGCTGGTTTGGGGTTGTTTGCGGGCCGGTGAAATCATCGGTCCATATTTATTTCAAAAAGATAGTGGTGAGAAGTAAATGGTATAAATAGAAACATTTTCGACACCTAAGATTAATTTCGAATATTGATATTGGGTGACTCATATTCTTACAGAACGAAATTCCCTTCGCCGCATTAACGACTGTGATTTGCTTATCAAACGTCAAAGAATTGATCTATTTTTCTGAAAGACAATAGGTTTTTGTCTGTTTGGTGGGGGATTTTTTAAGTGATAATTTATTTAGAGCTTTAGCTCGACAAAACCACCATTAATTGACAAAATGACTAATGCACTAAAACAGAACAAGTCAAAATTCATGAATTGAATAGGTGTAGTGTTTCACCAGGATAATTCCCGTACGAATTTGATGATTCGCCAAAAGCTTTTTGCAGCTTGATTCCATAATAATTGGCACCATCCCCCTAATAGTTGTTCTACTATCTGCAAAATTTTTTGATTGGGAAAACCTACGCCTCAAATCAGTACGCCAAAAACCACTTGTACTAGTATTTTGCCTGCAATAATCAAGAATTTTATAAGCGTGGTATTAATATCTTACCAGAAAGATGGCAAAAGGTATTGATTCAAAATAAGTAGTATATAATTTCATTAAATGTTTTTCACAATAAAACATCCTCCAAAAGTACTAAACGCGAAATTACGTAGTCAACGACCCAATATTTTTTTGTATACCATTAAAATATATTATTTAAATAAACTGAAAATCGCACAAGCAGTTAACGAGCACTTTTCTCGCTGAGCTAAAATAATTTTACTGTTTTCTCTACTTTTAGATGCCGATGGCGGAATGTAGGCGCGTCACTGATCGGTAAGTAGGCGTAACATTTCTATTTGCAATATTACCAAGCCATAATATTATATATTACTATTAACATGCCTGCATCTATAATTTTTTCTGAGAAGCTCCGCTTCTTTTTTCAACGCTATAATTGTCACATCAACTACGAGAGTAGCTTCATTGCTTATGTCGAGTATTTAATCCTAATGGGTGTGTTTGGAGCAAGGTAATTTATTTTATGGTTGAATAAGTAATTTTTGATTTTTTGTGTTTCGAAACGGCAAATCTCTCGTACTAGATTGAACGATAAGTTACTGACATATACTTTGTGGGTGTAAAAAAATCTAAAGTAGTAGGAGCGGGCGCTGTCAGTTTTCAGTTGTGTTACTAGTTATCGCCCCAATTCGATAGATCATCTATAACAGATTTGTTTATGTATTGTTTGACCTAAAAACAGTTAGGTTATCGGATTGATAGCTATACTCATTATTATACTTCTCTTAACTAGGGAGCTGTTCGGTTTATATCCATAATCTGAAATTTGATTGCTGGGACTGAGTTTTTTTTTAATTTTTTAGTTGCAATATACTTTATTTCGCGGATCTCCTTTTCTCAACTTTCGCTTTCTTAAGTTTATAGGTGTTTTTCTCTGGCTGTGTCTGCTTGTAGGTTACAAGGTCGAGTAAATATTATGACAAAATGTAGATAACAGCAGTTTTCGTCAAGG